TGGGTCCTTCTTGGGGTTCTTGGGTCCCTTGGAGTCCCTTGGGGTCTCTCAGGGTCCCTCCCGGGGTCCTTGGGGTCCCTCTGGGTCCTTCCTGGGGTTCTGGGGTCCCTTGGGGTCCCTTGGGGTCCCTTGGGGTCCTCAGGTCCCTCGGGGTCCTTGGGGTCCCTCCTGCGTCCCTCGGGGTCCCTCCTGGGTCCCCCCTGCAGCAACGCCAGCTCCCCAGGGCACTGCTGGTTCCCTTTGCCACCCCCGCAGTCCCAGTCCCGCCCCAGTTCCTCCCAGTTCCCGGCTTTGACCGGTTAGAGCACTCCTGGGTCTCGTCCCCCCCACCCCGGGGATGCCTGAGTCCACCCGGTTACACCCCAGTTACACCACTGGGCCCAGTAAAACTAGTTCCGCCCCTGCTTGCATCAGCGACCCCCAGCCCAGTTACTGCCCAGTTGCATCCCAGTCACACCACTGGGTCTGGGCCCCACTGCAGTTGCATCCCAGTTCCATCCCAGTTGCACCACTGGGTCTGGGCGGCACCCCAGTTGCATCCCAGCTGACCCTAGTTACACCCAAGTTACACCCCAGTTACGCCACCGGGTCTGGGCCGCACCCCAGTTGCATCCCAGTTCACCCCAGTCACGTCCCAGTTGCACCACTGGGGCTGGGCGCCATCCCACTTGCAATCCAGTCCACTCCAGTTACGCCCCAGATATGCCACTGGGTCTGGACCACACCCCAGTTGCACCTGAATTACACCTCAGTTTACACCATTGAGTGTTGGCCCAGCACCCTTTTATCCCACTGATCCAGTACAGGACCCAGTATGACCAGTTACATCCCAGTTTAGACCCTGCCACAAGGTTGGAGCGTGGGGTTTAGCCCCCCACCCCACTTCCACCCCAGTTTACACCACTGGGCTTGGTTCCCTCCCAGTTACACCCCCATCTGGACCACTGGTCTTGGCCCCCCACCCCAGCTCACCCAGTTCCCACCAGTGGGCCCAGTCCCATCCCAG